AAACTCTTATCGGTTATTTTGTAAAACAACTGGCTGGATTTACATTACCCCCAGTAAACCTAATTTACCCTGCTGAACGTAGATGTGTGAGAAATGACATTAATCACTTATTTCCTCTAATTGATTTGCAGGTCTTTCACCTCCTTGTGCTACTCAGCAGATGGTGAATCAATCCTTGCAGGTGGGCAGTCAAAGTTTGTGTGCATTTATAACATCAAGGAACATGTTCTGATGAAGAAGTTTGAGATCTCCTGTAATCTCTCTCTGGATGCTATGGAGGTACACACACTTACTAAACAAATGTACTTGTTTGTATTCACTGCATATAGAGACGTTAAAAAGTATGACACAAAACTTCCCATTTTGATAATGGTAAAAGGATTTCTTCATACCATATTGTATTCTAATAATTTACTTATTAAACGGGTTGTGAACTGATCTTGACATATAAAAGGTGCTAAAAAAATCTAGAAGTATATCGTACTTTTCAGAACTCAAAACATCATTAGTCCAAAAATTGCTTTTACTGAAATCAAGCTCCCAAAATTACTTATTTTCTACTTTGAGTTTTTATTGCAAAATAGAGGTAACACAAATCAACACCTACTACTTCTTCATCGCCTCTTTGACCCACCTGTTGACGCTTTAGTGAATTGACAGGCATGAGAAATGCCACATGATCACTGGACTAAAGCTAATATTACTTTTCAAACGATCCTAATATTAGGAATGTGTCTCTTTATTTTTAACCATGTAAAGCATTATTTGGTCATTTCATTGTGGATTATTTGGTATTTGGCAGGTGTGGCAAAATGCTATGTTCAGGCCCTGGATGTTAGTATTTGTGTAGAAATTGAGTTGTAGTGGCGAGATCATTGCTTTCATGTATACTCAATAGTCATGACTGTGATCAGCTGCAGTTCTCAGACCTGCAACCTTTGATGCAATAAAAGTAGATCTAAACATAATGCTGTAATCAACATTTTTCATGATTAGTTTATCTTGGCAGCTCTAATAGTGTAACATGGTACAAGTTCCACATACTTATTTCATATGCAGAGATTTAAGCCAGTCACATCAGTGGGTGTTAACATTGAAGTCTTAAAGGGATAGTTCACCCAAAAATGAAAATTGTCATTAATTACTCACCCTCATGTCGTTCCAAACTTGTAAGACCTCCGTTCATCTTCGGAACACAAATTAAGATAATTTTGATGCATTCCGAGAGCTCTCTGACCCTCCCATAGAGAGCAAGGATCCTCATACTGATCTGAACTTAAACAACGTATCCGCGTACATACGTTGCATGCGTTTACATATGTGATACTCTCCAAAATGGCGCTATAGGGTGGCGCGGAGGAGACGAATTGTTGAATAAAGTCATTATTTTTGTTTTCTTTGCGCACAAAGTATTCTCGTAGCTGTATAACATTACGGTTGAACCACTGATGGTCACATGGACTATTTTACCGATGTCCTTGCTACGTTTCTGAGCCTTGATCGTGTAAGGACCCTTGCTGTCTATGGGAGGGTCAGAGAGCTCTCAGAATGCATCAAAAATATCTTAATTTGTGTTCCGAAGATGAAAATCATACTAACATTGTACGTGCACCTAAGGAAACATAAAATAGAAAAATGCAGTTCACGACCCCTTTGAAATGTAGTTTTCTATTTTTTTATAAGCATGCAATATTCATTGAATTAGCATTTCATAATTCTTGTACTCTAGCTTATGAAGTAATCCTGCCATGTTCTTCTTTTCTCAGGAGTTCCTCGACAGGCGTAAGATGACAGAGTTTGGTAGTCTCTCTTTAGTGGATGAAGGCACAGGGGATGGAGACGGAGTGGAGCTCAGTCTTCCTGGAGTCAAGAGAGGTGAATCCACATAGTAAACCTGCCAATCAGTGTAGCTGAGCATTTTGTTTTTAAGTGCTTTGAATGTATTATTGCATATATAATATATACTGGCTTTTGCATGCAGCTCTCATGCCTGTCTCTCTTCATCTGTCAGGTGATATGAGCTCCAGACGCTTTAAACCAGAGATCCGTGTTGGCTCTCTCTGCTTTTCACCTACCGGTAGAGTTTTTGTCTTTACAGCACAACACACAGATAGAGATTTCAGTATAATTAACTATTCAAAATCATGTTTATCCAGACTTCCTAATATTTTTATTGAATATGGAACGGAATGAGGATGTTTTGAACTACTTCTCCATTCAGGGCGCAGCTGGGCGACAGCTTCCACCGAAGGGTTGCTGATCTACTCTCTTGACGCCTCACTGGTGTTTGACCCCTATGATCTAGACATGGATGTCACGCCGGCAAGCATACGGCAGCAGGTGAAGAAAAAAGAGTGGGCATCGGCCATTTTGCTGTCTTTTCGGCTAAATGAAATGGCACTCAAAAGAGAGGTTCTGGAGGCGGTTCCTTATGACCAAAGTATGTTCCCTTCTAAAATGGTCAAATATATTCTTGTCATGTTGAAAATACATAATTTTGTTGTCATTCTTTTCCTATTATTGTTTGACATTTCAGTTACAGTGGTATGTAGCTCACTGCCGGATGTGTATGTGGATAAACTTCTGAACTTTGTGGCCTCAACATTGGAAAAGTCCAACCACCTGCAGTTCTACCTCAGCTGGGCTCAGTGTCTGCTCACCCTACATGGACAAAAGCTCAAGAACCGGTAAGCAGCATAGCTCTTTTCACAATGACTCACACTGGTTTTAAGCTGTTGTGTTCTTAAGCTATATTTCCTCTCCTTAAATTGTCCATTTTTGCACTTAAATTGGAAATTTGGCACAAATAATATGCATAGAGACGGAATAAGCTGTTACATCACATTATCATCCCATTGTTTATAGGGTTTTGCAAAAATTGCACCTAAAAAAAAAAAAAAAAGTAAAGTTTTATCTCCTGAAGGTGATCGATAGTTTAAACGCCTCATTTCAATCTAGCGTAGCGTTAGTTCTGGCAGGTCATGTTAGTCAAGCTCGCATTAGCTGATCCCCATCAACCTATGGGAATACGACACCTATCTAAGCATTCATATATAAGGTCCCTCAGTATTATCAGCAGATTTTGCATTGCTCAATAGCTAATTACCCTTCTCCATCCCCAACTCCTCCTCTGTCAGTCAGGATTCAGCCTTCTGATTCTCCTTTGAATCAGACTAATTCTAAAATGTGTACATAACAGTATTGAACTTTAACGATATCTGCAATACATTTATGTTGGTTCTGTTCTGTTTACCCTGGGGGGGTTATCGCTGCTCTCCCTGCTCTCATCCATGCTAGGCTGCATGGATGCACGGGGAGTTCTTGCCCAGAACAGAACCATACCGCCAATCCAAACTGTATGCTAATTGTCAATCATCTTTGACGATAGTGGTCCTGACAGAACAGCTGTTTTCCATGCAGAAAAGAAAGGAAAAATGTTTCATGTCCTATTTTGCAGAATTTTATCTGTTGTTGGTGAGCTCTGTAAGACTGTTTATGTGTCTCATTTTCAGATCTGGAGCTGTATTGCCTACTGTACAGCAGCTACTGAAGAGCATCCAAAGACACAGTGATGATCTGTCCAAACTGTAAGCTTGACAGAATTCTAAAAAGGAAACGGTGGTAGTTTTTCTTTCTGGATTAATTTTAAATATAACTTGTTTTCTTTCTAGTTGTGACTGGAACATTTATAACATTCGTTACGCTGCTGCTCTGTCTAAACAGAGAGGGATGAAAAGAACAGCAGCAGAATCCCTCAGTGATGAAGAGGAGGAAGAGGAGGAGGTGGCAATGGACTCCGGAGGTGATGAGGAGAATATAATGAATGAGTCTATAATAGTAGAAATCTGATCATGAACACTTCAACTGAAACATAACAGAGCCAGGTCAGGACTTGGACAAGCAGCAGTTATTGTGCAGGTTTATGTATTTTGTCAGTGTAAACATGGACGGACAGCACCTACAAACTTGTTAGAAATGACATGACACAGTTTAGATTTTAAATATAAAAAATTAACATTGGCTCATCTGTTAATAAACGTGTTGTTTCTACTTGTACGATGAAAGATGTGGAAGCTTGTTTCTGCAAAGTAATAAAAAAAAGGTAATCGCAACTGTTTTCAAAATTCTGATGTTTTCCTTGCAATTCTGAATTTACATCTCACAATGCTGACTTTTTGTCTTGCAGATGCTATTTTACAATTGCAAGGGATAAAAGTCACAATTGTGTTTAATCGTCATGGAAATTAGCTTCTACAGAAAGCTGATTTTTGTTTTATTATAGAGAAAATGTTGATTTAAATACAGAAACGGTGTTCATGGAGTTTGTTTCATTGGCTTGTTTTCAAATAGAAATAGGCCGCCACAGCTTCTTTACATGCCTAATAATGCTGTCATTGAGCTCAGTGTTTCTCAAAGGATATCTGTTATGATATATGTCCCATTTGGCAGCAGCAGCTGTCATGCCAGGCTGCATGGCAGACTGACCATAATATTTGCATAGAATTGTATGCACAGTATTGTTTCCATAATGTATGCTTTAAATTTGCTGTGCAACAGGATGGTGCTTGAAACATCAATCATTTCCATAACCATCTCACATTGCTGAGGATTACTGAGTCTCTATCAGTGGGTCTTTTTACATTAGTGGTCTATAAGGGCTGCACAAGAAGGGATGAGTGGGGTAAGTTGTCCCACTAGGCATAGAGAGATTAAACGGCTAACCCCAAAGCATACTGGGAGAAATGATTCAATTAATAATCTTCATGATCTTGTGCATGGGCATTTCACCACCAAGTATTAAACTTTACACCGTGAAAAATGCAGACAGCTGTATATGATTAGCCCTTTGGAATATATGGTCACATGACAAATAGTCACCCTGTTAATCTACTATCTTACCCCATTCACTTATATCACAAAAATTAAACAGTGCATTTAATTCAAGATATAGTGAAATTAAGTAGTCAATTCAGAGTAGAACGTTTGAATCAAACTATCAGACTAAAGATGTTTTAGTATCTTATATTGAATGTTCAGTGACTTTTGAATGACTTCACAAGTCTCCTTAAAGGGATAGTTCACACAAAAATCTCACCCTCATGTTCTAAAGCCCATATGGAACACGAAATGTGAGCTTTTGAACAATGTCTTGGCCACTGGTTTCGATATTTTTAAACTGAATAAGGACTCGGGCTAAAAAAAATTCAGGTTTCCAAAGCCATATTCTATGAGGAATGCTTGCTGAAAACAACTTCTGTTCATGAGAGAAGTAGTGATTAAGTTGGAACTTTTTAGTGAATCGTTTGATCCACAAAACCAGCCTAAAATAAGAATATACATAAAAATAAAAATAAATTAAAATGAACAGCAATCGTTTAATCTTGGCGGGAACAAAAACTTGCTCTAACACTAAATGAAAACAAACAGCAATCACTTAATCTGTAATATATAATGGGGTCAAGCAGGCCATAAAGTATTATAATCAATGAATGACTAAGCATTTGTGTTGAAGTCTATGAGAGTCACAAATTTGTGCTACAGAGCAAGAACCAATCATTTGCATTTATTTGTTTTAATTTTCCATTTGGAACACTTGCTCCGATATAAAACAGATTGTTTCATGATATGGAGTCATACTGTACAATACTATACAAGCTTGGTCTTGGTTTATTTCCTTTGTGGTGTTATTTGTTTCACATACGTTGTGGCTTTGCAGGTATTAAAATGGTTCATAGTGAGGAAAGTTTGGATGAAATATTCCCCAAGTGCACGGACGAAGCTCTCTTTTGCATTGTTTGTGTAAAGAATGTAATTCATGAAATAGAGTTCATAGTAATGTTTATTACTTCAAAAATCGTATTATTAAAAAAGACGTGAACATTTTAAGTAAAATAATTTTCTTTTTATGATCTATCTTTTAAATCCTCACATTATAAAACACATTAAAAGTTTCAAGAGTTATACATTCCATGTTCATCTAAAATGCCAAATCTTCTACAGTGGATTTATTAATAAGCAGAAAAATCCTGGGCTATAAAAGGGTTTATTTTGGTGTGCTCTAGCTTTAAATACAACTGTTTTGCTGTATTATATAAATCCCTCTATTTGCGCTTTCACTCAGAGGGTTTTCTAGCTACAAGATGAAAAACGGCCTCAAAGTCAGACACAGAGTTTTTCTCTTGGTCTTCTGCAGGCAGTATATTAAACTCCTGGATTGAGAGGCCTGAACCACTGAGTGCTTCTTCAATATTATCCTGACTCAGTCCAAGACAAGAAAAGAGCTGTTCATCCACCTTGTAGAAGCTCTCACCCAGAACACCTATCATGACCAAAAGTCCACCAGGACGCAGAAGTTTGGTCAGCCCATGTAGAGAACGACAGTATGTTTGAAAGTCTTTACACGCTGCTTCCAGACACAGAGATGTTATGACACAGTCAGCTGGTTCCAGTGTGTGTGGATAAAATGGATTCTCCAACCGGACATCACATTTTAAAACTTTCTTGACTCGTTGCTTCAGTGTAGCCTCCAAATCAGACGGGCTGCCATAGTTCAAAGATTAATTGAAAGATAAATCATTTAGAACAAAATACAAGAAATGTTTTAGGAACTTAGTGTATAAAAATGTATGCTCTGTCATATTAATAAATGGGTGTTTCCTCAACTTTACAGTTTTACCAGGAGCTTGCATTTTAATTCAAAGTTTAGAATGTAACGTAATTTGCGTCTCACTCATTTCATTCTACCAGAGGAATGTATGATATATAATGGAAATGACACTGTTCTGAAAAAGGGGCAATTTTCCTTTGTCATACAATGCTACTAAGCGATTAAACCTGACAGTGTTTTTCTAGTCAACAAGGCCGATAGTATGTAAGCCCATTTCCGACACGAAAAAAACGTATATTAACAATAAATATAAATATAAACAATAAATTATATAAACTCTATATAATACAATAAGCAGAGAAATTGAAGTTGTAATATGTCAACTGTAATGTGTAAATGTGAGTAAAACTGTAAACTCAGAATTCAGAGGGGAGGAAAAAAAGTAAAAAATGCAAGATGTAAATTTAGAATTCTGAAGGAAGACGTGAAAATGCGCAGTTACCCTTTTAAAATGTGTTTATTTTCTTTCCGTGGCGGAAATAGCCTACCATAGTCTACTTTAAGAAACACAATATACAATATAGAAATATAATTACCTTCTCCCCTCCAGTTCACAAACGTACTGCAACATAGGTTTCCAATCTAAACTCCCCTCTTGATTTTTCAGCCATTTTTCAATTTCTCTACGATTGTTATTTGCAAAATCAGACAGCACAATCTCGTCATAATGTTCGCACGCACTCAAGACGCTGTGGATAGATGGTCCACTGCCTACATCGATCAGCCGCTTGCCTTTATGCTCTCCTTTAAAACAAACATTTGTGTAAAAAATTATTTAGGAAAAATTGAACATCTAGACCGAGCGATTCGATTGACAGGGATTGCTTACCCGCCGAGAAAACTCTGCTAAGGCATCTCAAAACGAAAGTAAGGAAATTCTTCTCGTCAGCGTGACCGCTAGGGCAGGAATAAAAATTCTTCACATAAACTCGCGAGTCAAAATGCCCCTCATAGAACTCGCCCTCGGTGAAGGTCGTGAATTCACTCATAATTACAACAAGGTATTGTATGTTACGTATATAACTTAAAATAAACAACGACTGCTGTAGATAATACGTTACTGTAAGAGCAAACTAGTACTGTCCTTACTAACAGCGAAGGCGCAAATGTGGTTTCCACTTTCCAGACTTGGGCAACCTAATCACGTGAATTCGAAATATACCGTATCGACCCGAATATAAGACAATGTTTTTTCTTGGAAATACATCTGAAAAAACGCGGTCGTCTTATATTCAGGGTCTAGACTTTGACATGTCAATAATACACCCACAACAATAGGTGGAGCCAAATACGCATAAAACGAGTGTGCCATTAAATACGTAATGTAATGTGTTGTAAGGATCGCGAGTAAAAACAAAAGAAAAGGAAAACCTTACAGCTGCATAATCCGTGTATCATTCGATCATTCGTTTTTTGATTTAATATTGAAAGTAGACCAATTAGAAAACGGCTCCTTTTTCGTTTTTTTCCAAAAAACGAAAAACGAGAATTCAGCTTAAATTTTCGTTTTTCGTTCATGGGTGGAAAAATGAATAGCTTGAATATTCGATTTCTACACGTGGGCGGGAATTAAACGCCCCTTTCTGCTGATTGGTCAGCCGAATATCAAACCGTGCCTTCATCAGTTCTTCCGCAGTATCACGCAGCAGGCAATGTAACGCCCCTTACCATAATCGCGAGCTTCATCTTTCAAAATTAGTGATGGAAATTTTGATTATTTCAAGAAATTCGTTCATTTTCAGTTCGTTCACCAAAATGATTCGCTCAGATTCGTTCACTGATTCGTTCAGTGACCATTTCTTCATATTACATAAATACGCCAGCAGGTGGCGAAAAAGAGTGTCTTATCTGTTATGTCTTAAGTCAACGAACGTATTCACTTATTACAAAAAACTGATTTGGCTTTAGTAAAATGTGTGCATAATCTCCTCATTAAATAAATAAAGTCTAACGTTGTTCAGATGACCAAAGCACAAGGTTTTCTTGCATATTTAACATTTTAAGTGTTTGGTCAGACATTTAAACATTCATAAATCGCGGATTAAACGTTGACTTATGCTAAATATGAATATATAAACAAGTTTATTTGCACAGTACCTATAACTGCGCTTTGCATCTGCTTTCTGCTGATTGCTGATCGAGATTGACATGCTTAATGGCCGACTGACCCGGTACACTCTCATTCATTTCGTTCACGAACAAGATGTGTACTAGTTCATTCAACTCGTTCACGCACGAGAAGATCTCTCTCGTTCAGACTCAAAAGAAACTTGTTCAGTGAAGGGCGTATTCGTTCACTACATTCAACAAATCACATGCTCCGTCACATCTCATACTCGAAGGCTATTGGCTCGAGGTTTAGTCATTCTTTGACAGGATGAAACGGTCCACAGAGCTACCCGGCTCACTGAACTGCGCATGCGCTGCCAATAGCGTCGCGCTGCTCTGGAGGGAGGAATTTCAGTGAACGAGAAATATGAGAATGGATTACGTGAACGAGAACGATTCGTTCACCAAAAAGATTCGTTCACGAACGTAACACTAAAATATACGGATATAAAGTTGCTAGCAGGCTAAGTCCACCGTTGTCCATCTTATCTCGAAGGAAACATAATCGTTTCTTGAATTTAACTGGACAATATATAATGTCTGGCATGTTGACAGACTAAACATAAACATCTTTTAATCCCCAGAAGTAGTTTTAAGACAGTGAAGTACACTAAAAGTGTAGAAACAGAAAATTCAGTGATGAAAATTTACTTGAAATCCTGGGGAAAGAACTGGCATGCAAGATGGTGTGGTAATGAACATCACAGCATCACTCACTAACATTTACAACCCAGATGTAACTTGTGTAAGCACAACACATTCAACAATCAAAGCCACATACAAAGAGAACAAATGACTAAAGTTTAATACTGGCTACTTTTTATAAATCAAGTTTTTAAAAATGTTTTGCATTTCAAGTATTCATGGACACAAATCAAAGACAAATCAAGGAAGTACCATTCAAAGTACATTATACAAATGCTTCTCACAAAACTGATCGGCTTTTTAAAATGCAAACTTGTGAAACTAAAGAAAAACTAAAGAAAACCACTAAATTGGCAACTGTATTATTAAATTTAGCAAATAATAATCAAAAAACTAATCCGTTTACATTGGTTCATAAATTCTTCATTGTCATAGCACTTGTGATATTTCATTACACAGACATCAAGTATGACAGAAAAATCAGGTGCCAACTATTTCCTTTCAAGTTCAGGTTAGATATTTAAACAGAAACCAGTTGCTGGAACTGAAAGGAAATACTTAGGTCAAATTAATTTTATATTTTAACATCATCGCTTCCTTGAGCTGCACAGTAATGAAATTAACATGCACTATTTCAGAGATTAAATTACAGTGACTTGACCGAATATAAGACAAAACAGTGCTCTACAATTGATAACAAAACAGTGTGTTCGTTCAAATATAGTTACACAGACCTCGTCAGTAATTGTTCAGATGTTGACTCAATACTGCTCAAGTGACATCTTGTTTAATGGTCTCTCTTGCAAGAGGCAGAAGCTATGCAGTAGCGCAACTTCTGTCAGCAGGGCCACAGTGTTTTGGACAGGTTAACTTGATTTCTACGAACAGTATTTTTGTCAACAAAATGGCAAACGTTTTCAACAGGCATATGAAATTGTAAAAGAGGAGAAAAAAAAACAATCACAACATTAAGTACATGAGATTGTACAGTTCCCTTGCTGTTACACATAACAGCATAATACATTATAAAGTGCACTAAAACTCTCCTGAATAGATTTGAGAAGCAACTAAATTGTACTAATAGTACGTCTCACTCTTTCAAACTAAAACCACCATACACAGACACACATCTGTTGATGTCTGTGACTTTTAGTGCCATTTAAAAAAAATATCAAATTTGACAATGACTGTTTTGCACGGCCAAGAGTTGCTTACTATCATTGACAATTCCATTAGAATGTACTGTACATGAAAAATACCAGAAACACCAAACCACAGCAGCTTCAGTGTTAAAGTAAGGAGCTGCTTCTAGAGAACAGTGTGGGGAAACTACAGTAATGAGGACATGAGAATTAATGATTTCATCATACCAGATATGGTCAATAAAACTTCCTGCTACGTGGCCTGAAAGGTCTTAATTTATCATTTTGACTTTCAGTTGGAATGTCTTTTGCCAAGGCCACTACAGCACATCTTGATTTTGAAGGGGTAAGCCATGGACCCAATGACTTCATTTTCCATCTTCTGAAATGCAATAAGGTTCAAGTCTATTTCTGCCCTGCTTTAGTGAGAGAGAAAAAAAGAAAAGGAATGTTAAAACAGCTAAAACTACATGTTTGCTCAACTGATGAGCAGAGACGTTTTCAGCATGCACACAAATGTTTGAGATAGCGTGACACTGGATGAGAAGAGGAGACTGTGAAGAAGGGAAAACCAACACTGAATAGAAGTGACAGCAAAAGCAAGTTTGGGATAGACAGAGAGATTCTTAGAACAGGAACCTTTTTTTCCCCACCAATTTCACCAAACCAAGCCATATGTTTACAGCCATCAGTAACACAGTTCTCAATTTTTGATCAATTGGAGAGTGCTGTGGATTTTTGTTTTTCCGAGTAAATCCCATCACACATGAATGGGACCTGTTCCATAATTTCCTCCTTACAGACTCACATGAAATGCTATTCTACGCCATTCATTCACACTACTACAAGAAAACTAATGAGTGGTTGTTGTACACTCATGTTCATGTTCACCACTCTCTCTCTCAGGCCAATGAACTTAAAGGACACACATACAAAACATGCATCGGTCTCTTTCGCCATCTCTCATTCACTCGCTCTCACACTGACCTGCAATGTACTTTGCTCCAATTAACATAAACATGCTACCCAGAATGTAAAAGCCCAAGGGAACACTACTGAAGATACTAGTCTCCTCTGTTGGTCGTCCAGAACACAGGTCCATGTCACGCAAGACAGTGGAAAGAGAAAACAAGTGGGACAATTAAGTAACTACTGATTTTGTCAAACAAACAAAAAAAAAAACATTACTTTAGAGTTTGTTCTATCTGAACCAGATAATAACTTTGAGAGGTACAAAGTCCTGTTTCTGTTTCTTGTTTTCTGCAAAGACAAAAAAAAAAAAAAAACACTTGCAAAACATCCATTCCCCCTGACTTTGGACATTCTGGGTCAATACCTCTGGTTACTGATTACTACAAACCTACATCAATCTTTGACTACATTTGTGGGCCTGGTTGAAATTGTTTTTTTTGTTTTTTGGAAATGGAACAAACATGAGGAAATGGGTTCAGATTTTCAAAAAAAAAAAAAAAAAAAAAAAAAAAGA